TTTGTAACATTATAAATGTCTTTACTGTCACTTTTGATCAATTTAATGCATCCTTGGGGAATAAAAGTATTAATTTCTTTCAAAAGGTCCTCTAATCGAATAACACAACTTGAGTCATTGTATAATATGTGTCTATAAACTACCATACTCATCATAACCAGGTCCTGATTTCATTTCAAAACTTCAAATCTGCAAAAGCATCGTCAGATTAGCCAAAATATTTCATAAACGGACTCTGCAGCTGCTAAAATCCATGTGGGTCTGCATATGCAAATTTCTACTGGTTATACGCATAACATAATCTCCAGCTGGCATCAAAGTCTAAATAATATCAATCAGCACCAAGTATTTCATTCATGTGCACTCCAAGAAATACAGATGCAATTGTTTATGGTACAATTCTCGAGAATTATCCCAACAAGACGCTACAGAATAGAGGTGAAGAACTTTTCTGTCTCTGCGAAAGGGAGTGTATCAGGACAGAGCTGTGGGAGATGAGTGTAGATCACCTCCACGCCGTAAACAGAACAAATGAACCACTATCCCCGGTAATGCCACCCCGGAGAGGGGCTTAAAATGGCTTATAGAAAACTGGAGGTGGATAGAGGAGAGGAGGAATTACAAGAGTGTTTTAGAAGAACTAAAAATGCTCAGTAAAGAGATCCCCATCAGCAGGATCTGTGCCATCAGCAGTCTGCGAAGTTACAGCACTAAGTGACACCTGAACACACAGAAGATGAATGTTGCAAACAGAACACACGAGCTCAAATAATAAAACGAAAATGTGTTCTGCTACTTCATCCTTGGTGATAAATTGGCGTGTGTTTATGAAACCATCCTTACAGGAAATAATATTAACAAACAATGCCGCATTTTCAAAGCCATCCGCCTAATAACTCGGGAGTATGCGATGACGAGCAACTTTCTTCCCAAGGGCACTTCAAAAATTGCAGTTGATAAATTAGTCTGACTGCCACATTAATACAGAAGAACAAAAAAATCGTGGCCGTGCAGGAGGAAAAATAACTTTTTTTTCAGGATCTCTTGACACGCAGCCTGGTGCTTTCTGACTTCTACAGAATCAATTATTATGGAAGCTAATCGAATGGAGATAATTGGTCGCAGTATATATTAAACAGTCCTACACAGGCTCCAGAGCCAGTGGTGCTGAGGGGCCACTCCAGGGCCAGAGGGCGAGAGGGGAGACGGGATGACACACTTGACAGTGCCGGAGAGTGGGAGGCTCAGCTTGCGAAGTGTGCCTCGCTACACGACTTGAACACTCCTCAAAGCTGGAGAGGGGCTTGTTCTGAGTGTGTATGTTTAATGGGATATGCAAATCTCTTACAGTCAGAGAGCATGTGAGCGTCTGGGTGTGTTCTGTGTTTAATGAACATCGTCAGATCAGAAATCACAGTAAAATATAGAGCTAAAGCTGTTCTCACGTTGTCTGATGTCCACACCCATCTTAGCCATCTTAGCCATAGACAACTATAATTTCATTTTATGTTTGTTTCAAGGGCAAGCATGCACAATAAAAAAAAGAAAAGAAAGGCAACTGTGGCCAATAATAAAAAATATAGAGCACAGTTTTACACAAACAAACACAAAATATCATCAGGAAATAAACACAACAGTAAAATTATGCAATAAACACTAGCCTTCCTAAAAAAACATCAAATGCAACAAAACACTTGTTTAAGTTTAGATTGTAACATCGCCAAGATGCTTAAAGAAACCTATACCTGCAAAGCTACCTGAAAAACTATGCGCAAGTGCACCTAGGGCAAAAGCTGCTTTAAACAAAGGGTTGGTCACACCAAATGTTGATTTGATTTAGTTAATAGAAGTTAATTGATAAAGAAAATCTATTTATTATATTATTTTTGGCAGCATCCTCATTTTACAGCATTTTTACACAAGTGCCTAAAACTTTTAAGAGTACTGTAGCTTTGCAGGTAGGTCTCTTGAAGCATCTTGGAGACGTTGGATGCTCACACCAAATGTTGATTCAGTTAATAGAAGTTAATTGATAAAGAAAATCTATTTATGACATTATTTTGTCAGCATCCTCATTTTACAGCATTTTTACACAAGTGCCTAAAACTTTTAAGAGTACTGTAGCTTTGCAGGTAGGTCTCTTGAAGCATCTTGGAGACGTTGCCACAGTTCTACTGGATTTAATCTGTTTCTTCATGTAATCTCAGACAGACTGGATGATGATGAGATCAGATCTCTGTGTGGAGCACTGGCTGTTGTCAGACTCTGTGCAAACAAAACAAACAAAAATCTCACTAGACTATTAGCCTACAATTAATGGCAAAATGAATGTTTTTTTACTGACACACTACAGCAAAAGATAGAAATAACTGACTTGAAACCATTTTTAGCTGGTGAAAATACTAGTGCTGTAATAATTTTGACCATAATATATATATATATATGCTGAAATCTTCACAGATTTTAATTACGTTAAAATAAATACAGGATACAGTCACCTTGCCACAAAGTCTTGTTCCTCTCTCTCTCTCTCTCTTTCTCCCTTTGTTTCTACCATAAAGAACCCAGACAAAGTTTACAAAAACACTATCTCATGAAAGTGCGTTTCAATAGCACGATTTTCTGTTTCTGTTTGGCGTCCTATTTACGCAGAATTTACTTTGGCGTGCATATGATACGCAGTGGTTAGGTTTAGGGGTGTGGGATAGGTGAGCATTATATGTATGCCAAACTGCTTATCATTTAGCGTACCTTTAAGGTACCAAAATTGACCCTTTAGGTACAAACATGTACCTTTTGAAAAGGTGCCGCCCCAGTGACAGCTTTTGTACCTTTATTTCTGAGAGTGCAACATGAGGAATTTTTACTCCTAATTAATTGCATATATACATGTTTGCTCATAAAACCTCTTAGATTGACATATTTCAATGTCTTACATTACTGTGGCAGATATGTAAAGCCATGAATGAATATAAACATAACAAAGAGCCTGTCATACCATACAGGAATCCAATCCAAGTCTGTCAATCTGTTCACAGTAAACATAGAACATTTTCTGTGCTATTTTTGTTCTGATTTTATATCCAGACTGGCTTTATTGACAATTGTTTTTTTGTTGGTTTTTTTTCTTCCAAGCCAAGAGTACCATTTTAGGATGGTGTATCAAGGTAAAATTTAATTAGAAAAAAATCTTTGTGACGAAATGTATAAATAGGGCAAAGGGCATTATTAAATGTATTAATTTTGCGTGAAAGATCACATAATTTTTCTATATAATTTATAATATTTCTTGTAATTAACCTGGATGCACGATATTATCGGACTGATATCGGAATCGGCCGATAATGGCTTTAAATGTAAATATCGGCATCGGCCTGATATGAAAAATTCTGCCGATAAGAAGAATGCATTAACTCACATGTGAATGCCATCTGTCCTTTTCCCTACAGCGGATAAACAAAGAACCACTTAAAAGTAATGTGTGTTATTTTTCAGTGTTAAAATACTTGTATCCCATTTTAGCTATAAGCAAGCAATTTAAGCCACCTTATCACTACTTACAACAATGACGACAGACCGGATTTGTTTTCGGATCTGAGCTTTGGCTGTGAAATATTTCAGGTAAACAGAATGCAACCCACCGGAAGTGATGTAAGCTATTCGTATCAAAACTATGAGCGCGAATTGAAAATTATCAGTGATTTTGTCTGTTTTTATCCTAAATAACTCCTACTTATATAGAATGGGCAGTTATGGATAAATAAGTCAGAAATAATTACGTGATATTTTACATTGTTTTTAGTCATAGGCCATACATAACATATTCCCTCCAAAACTACTGGCGGTCTTTTGTCCTTTAGGAGTATATAGCCTATTAATTCATGATTATTTATTCATAGGCACTTATTCAACATCCTTCTTTGCTATACACGCAAACAGAATATATCAGGTCTAGAAGGGTGAAAAGGCGTACATTACAACTGCCACTAGGGGGCGTATTGTGACAGTCGTATCCGGAAGTCACTGTTCAAGAAAACCTGTTTGAAAACACTCAAGATTTTGCTGTTCCGTTTGATGCTAGCAGACCGATCATCTTTGAAGAATAAAGGAAAAAAGCTTCTCATTTTTTACGTCTAATGTATAGAGAGAAAGGTGAACAATGAATACACTACATCCTGAACTTAAAACATTATAATAGAATATCAGTGTAGCTAATAATTATAAAACATTGATAAAAGGAAAATAAAAAGGTTTTCAACCAAGATTGCACAAGCTCACATTTGGCAGGATGCTTTCTGCTGATAGAAAGGCAATTCAAACATGAACCTTTACTTAAATTCATACATTCAAAACACTCAACAAAATTTGAGAAAACATCAATCTAAAATTGTTGGGATGTAGCCAGTTACATTTCATAGTAGCACTCATAAAATAATTTTATTTAAATATGCACGTGGTATAAATGATCCGTCACTTTAATTACGTAGTGCAACAGGCTTGGTAAAAAATGGAATGAATCCAAATGCTGCATAGTGGAGAAGCATTTAGTGAGTGCAGTAAGACGTATTTTCTTGCACAGTTCAACTATTTCGACAGAAGAGCTGACTGAGAATGGTGCAAGGTGCCCTCGTTAATTAAAAGTTGTACACACACAGCCTTCTGGGATACTTACTATCCCTTTGTATCCTTCGAGTGCAGTGTTCTCTGCATCCCATAAAAAATCAGATTGTACAAATAACACCGGGTCCCCTGTAACAGAGACGGGAGACTCCTTGAAATTGTTGTTTGTGACTCGTGAGAAGTGAGAAAGAGAACAGCTTGGCAGCTTCCCTGGGGACAGGGATTTTATTCATGCTATTTACAGCTGGTGGTTGTTTTAAATACTCACATATTTAATTAGCAGACAGCACACATTTCTTACAGACTCAAAGTCAACATTCTGGCCAGGTGTAAGGATAGGTGAGGATGAGGAAGAGGAAGCATCTGTACAATAGCAAAACATGATGGTTAGCGAGTGATATTACTGTATTTGTACCAAAAACCAAACTAATGCAGAAGAGAATATTAGGGGTTCGTTTAAGACTTTTAAAGAATTAAAAAGTCTAATTAATTGCACAATATGTTAATTAACCCTTGAGCAGGGCGCAAAATGACCAGGCATTTTAAAAATTGCTTATAAATCTCTTAATGCTATTGTGGATTCAATCTTTTTGTCAACTTGTTTTCTTTCAGTTAGCACAGGAGTGTAAATTCATTGCAGAAGGCATCATCGATCAAGGTCAAACAGAGATAAGCTTCCTCACACCCACAATAATTCTCATGTCTGCAATAAAACGCCGTATCCTCACCTGAGATTTCTGTCTTATAGGTGGTGGTTTTCGAGACAGCCTGGCAGACATGTCTGAAGAGCTTTGTCCCAGCTCATCAGAGTGCCCCATGCCACTTCCATTCTTCACACGAACTTCTAACCAGGTAACAACTAACTTGACTTCACTCTAATGTAACGGACAAGGTAGTTATTAACTTATCATAATATAATGATTAAACCGTTTTTGGATCAGGGGGCTGGAGAGGCCAGAGACTTCTATGTGCCAAATCCTTCATGCCGAGAATTCCACAAGTTTGAGTGGATTGGGCAACTAATGGGTGCAGCTCTTCGCGGAAAAGACTTTCTGGTGAGTGCTGGTCTTGTGTGTAATTGCATTGGGACTTTTGTGTTAATTGAACATTCTGTAGTGAATGAGATTTCATAATATTTATTCTTTAGGTTCTGGCTTTGCCAGGGCTGGTGTGGAAGCAGCTGATTGGAGAAGCAGTCAGCTGGACTAAAGACTTTCCTGCAGTAGATTCAGTGCTGGTAAGAAGCCCAAACATTTCTCCCTCAGTCCTATCTTTGCATCTAGGTACTGACTAGTCCTTGGTCAGAGGGGAACTGGTCATTCGATTGAGCCTGATTTCTCCCAAGGTTTTTTCCCTCCATTTCTGTCACCTAATGGAGTTTGGGTTCTTTGCCACAGTCTTCTTTGGCTTGCTTAGTTGGGGATTAAAAGACAATTATTAGGGATGCATAGTATTATCAGATTGATATCGGAATCAGCCGATAATGGCTTTAAATGTAAATATCGGCATCAGCATATATGAAAAATGATGCCGATATGTCTTGCCTATAAGAGAAATATGTTAAATCACATGTGCTCAGGGTGTGCTAGCGATTAGATCACGTCAACAGTGTGGCTCATTCTTGAAGCAAAGTTTTTCCTGAATGATGATTAGATTCACGGTTTTGGATCGCTGCATTTAATCTGAGAAAGCTTGTACAGAATGAAGCGTTCGGTGTGTGATAGAGTAAACAGTAATAGCACGTGCAGTGGCAGCAGCGGCAGCAGCGGCAGCCTCCCACAGGTCCTAACGAATTGCTTATAAATCTCTTAATGCTATTGTGGATTCAATCTTTTTGTCAACTTGTTTTCTTTCAGTTAGCACAGGTTTTGTATTTCTTTTGATCCTTTCTGATTGATTGTAGGCCTCATTGTTTATAAGCTCATGAGCCTCAGTTTTTGAGTGAAAATAGTGTTATTTGTGTATAATTTTGGCAATATTCACTCAAAAACTGAAAAAGAAAAAGAAGCTCAAGGTCAAAATGCCCGGATCACACACTCTCAGAAAATAAAGGTACAAAAGCTGTCACTGGTGTGGTACCTTTTCAAAAGGTACACTTTTGTTCCTATTAGGTTCTAATATGCACACTTTAAGTACTAATATGTACCTTTAAGGTACCAAAATGGACCCTTTAGGTACAAACATGTACCTTTTGAAAAGGTGCCGCCCCAGTGACAGCTTTTGTACCTTTATTTCTGAGAGTGCAACATGAGGAATTTTTACTCCTAATTAATTGCATATATACATGTTTGCTCATAAAACCTCTTAGATTGACATATTTCAATGTCTTACATTACTGTGGCAGATATGTAAAGCCATGAATGAATATAAACATAACAAAGAGCCTGTCATACCATACAGGAATCCAATCCAAGTCTGTCAATCTGTTCACAGTAAACATAGAACATTTTCTGTGCTATTTTTGTTCTGATTTTATATCCAGACTGGCTTTATTGACAATTGTTTTTTTGTTGGTTTTTTTTCTTCCAAGCCAAGAGTACCATTTTAGGATGGTGTATCAAGGTAAAATTTAATTAGAAAAAAATCTTTGTGACGAAATGTATAAATAGGGCAAAGGGCATTATTAAATGTATTAATTTTGCGTGAAAGATCACATAATTTTTCTATATAATTTATAATATTTCTTGTAATTAACCTGGATGCACGATATTATCGGACTGATATCGGAATCGGCCGATAATGGCTTTAAATGTAAATATCGGCATCGGCCTGATATGAAAAATTCTGCCGATAAGAAGAATGCATTAACTCACATGTGGTGCGTGCAAAGGTTCTGCGCGATCCTCTTGTTCAATATTCTCTGGGTCTGAATCCGGTTCAAACTGATATGGCAATATTGACGCCATCCTTAACTAAACCGTAGCAGACGGATCTTGCTGCTTTGGCAAGGGGCGGGGCAGTACTGATGGCTCAAATTGATATGGCAATATGGCATCCTTAACTAAACCGGAGCAGACGGAACTTGCTGCTTTGGCAAGGGGTGGGGCAGTACTGAAACACCGTCTAAGCTGTTTGCCAGTCACAACACACTGGGACAGCTAACCAATCACATCACATTTCGTTTTTCGGAAGGCGGGTCTTCATCAAACCCGGAACTAATCGAGCCGTTTTTTTTTTTTTTCGTTTTTCGAACCACCAAGCATGAGAGCATATTCTAATACACCCCCAAAACAAATTCAAGACATTGTAAAAGAGCATAATAGGACCGCTTTAAATGAAAAGTAAAATAGCCTACACAAATAAAATTTAGACTGTGTTTCTGATTAAATAAATCAGTAATTGATGTCATAAAATAATGAGTATGTTTTGATTTAAAGGTCAGAAGCTATAGCTTACATGAAAAAAAATCACAAACATGACACGCAAATTACATTTTTTTTATATATATACTGATTTATTCATTCATGTGTAATGTTTTATTTTTTAAACAAATCATGAGCTCTAGAAGATTTTCTGAATTTCTACAACTCTTTTGCTTTAGACCATCTACAAATGTTAAAGCTTAAAATAAAATGTTAGGGTTAACCTTGCATCTTTCTGGGGGAAAAATGCAGCGATTGATATATAGTTTATTTATAGTTATTTTCAAAGCTTCAATGTACTGTCAAAAAACCTTCATAATTATTTATTTAATTCTAACAAATAAGTTCTTGTTAAAAACTAACCACAATTAAAAATATTTTGCTTATAATTTCTGCACAGGAGAGACTTGGTGTTGTTTCCAAACAAAAGGAAATATATCGGTATCGGCCAAAATGGATTGAAAAATATTGGCATATTGGATATCGGCAAAAATCCAATATCGTGCATCCCTAAATTAACCACATAAAATTAACGTTAATTAAATTTTAAGAAATTAATTTTCACATTTGTCAAAATAAACAGTTATCTTTAATGCAACATGCACTTGAACACTCAGTGTAAGGCAGTAAAGGACCGTGTCTTTCAATATGATGTTACGAGAGAAAAATCTCTCCCACTTCAGATCTTTCTCATCTGCATTTCAGTCGATCCCTCAAAGGAGAAAAATCTAAAAAGATTGCATCAGGTTGTCATACCCGTGACGGACAGCAGCTACGACTGAAATATATTTTATATATACGATTTATACGCAATATACGATTTTGCAACATAATAATGTGATAATGACATTTACATGCCACTGCACAGACCGGGGCTAGTTGTCACACCGCTTCATTAACTATAAAGTTCTGAAATAAAAGTCAAATTAAACAAATGCATGGCTGAAATTTATTTTTTGAGTGAACAACTGTGTGACAATTAACCCTGGTCTCTTCTATACAACAGATACTATATTTTGCAACATAAAATTTAGCATCTACAGGTATAACTCACAGATGCCACCACATCTGATGTGGAAAGAGAAGCAAGTAATCACTCAACATAATGTGAACAAATCAATTACACAAGGTCTGAGTGATTACTCATGATATCAGAAGAGATAGAGGTTTTAGCTGGCAACATCGCTATATGCAAGACCTCACTCCAGGGAATAAGATACGTGCACGCTAACGATATGAAACTCGCAAAATCTCTGATACGGCAACATGAATCTGAGGCAACGTCAATTAACTGGATTTGCGGGTTTAACCTGTCAACAGGATGTCATAACAGCTTTTATCATTGTGAAACTGTAGATTGTGAGAGGCATCATATTTAATCATGCTCTCCCTCACTCTTTCCCCCTGCTTTCTTTCTCTTTTTTTTTTTTTTAGTAAAAATATGTCCCCACGCAATGCAAACTCCCCAGACACAGTGTTGTTTACTGCAGATTAACAAAGGGGGGGCAAGACGAGTTTCTGACACCAGCTCAAGTGTACAAGAAACCTTAATACCAGCAGAGTGAGAATTTTTAAGCAAAAGTTGGGCTGCATTTGGGGGAACTGTTTACTTTTGTTTGCTAGTTCTCTGCTTGGACTTGTATTTATTTATTTATTCATTTATTTGTTTGTATATTTATGTATGCTAGTGCAGTATAAAAAAAGTTCAGTTTTTGCCCTGGCAGTATGGCGGGAGAGCTGGATTCCTGTGGGGCTGTGTTAAAAAAAAGGGATTTGTGTAGTAATCTATAATAAATTAATAAAGATTCCTGTTTTTTTTGGGAATGTCAGTGGGTCACTGCTTTTCAGAGAAGAATGCATCTGATATCTTGTACTCCTATGGGAACGTGCAAGAACTCATGGGGACACATGACTGAATGTGGTCGTGTTTGTGAAATAACAACATGTAACATAACTGCATCTTTAAATTGAATTTTCTTACTGAAAATTATAAGTTGCTTGCTTTGGGTAAAAGTGTCTTTCAAAAGTAAATTCATATATTTTAAAGTATAACAGCTAAATACAGTACGTTTTGGGGATATTGTATGACTGCTTAATAGAATAGTTCTCCTGAAAATGAAAATTTGTGTAAAATTTACTCACCCTCATGCCATCCAAGATGAACATGAGATGTAGTTTCTTCATCGAAACAGATTTGGAGAAATGATTGACTTGAGAAAGCAATAGTATGGATAGAGGACTCATATTTTAGCTAGACGCAATAGTTTGAGGTTAAAAACATCCAAATGATGGATTTGTTTCTTACAAACATGCAGTTTTTCACTTCACGATATGGAATGGAGTCATGTGGATTACTTGTGATGTTTTTATCAGCCGTTTGGACTTTCATTCTGACGGCACCCATTCACTGCAGAGGATCCACTGGTGAGAAAGTGATGTAATTTCTCCAAATCTGTTCCAATGAAGAAACAAACTCATTTACATCTGAGGTTGAGTACATTTTCATTTTTGGGTGAACTGATTTTACTTAAAGTCCCTGCTGGTAGATGCCATAACTAACTAAATCTCAAAACTCATAAATAAATCTCAAAAACAATTAAGACATATAACACAGTTTTAAAAAAAAACTGCAATACTATTGGTTTTTATGATCTTCATTTAAAAAAAAAATATATATTTTTTTTTTTACATTTACAGCACTTTCTCCGTTATAAAACTACAATCTGGACAAATATAAAATAGGCTGCAGGGTAGTCGCTAGTGAAGGGTCTGGGACTGTGAGCATCCTTGTAGTGCCATCAGCCAATCAAAATTGTCATTTTTATGAGGCTTCAGGGTGATTAGTTACAGCTGCCATTGAGATGAATGGGAATGCTAACGGATCACTTTCTCCAGGTAAACCTTCTTGGTTATTACAGTGAGCAAAGTTCTGAGGTACAATCTCATTGACTGCTGATGTTCCCAGCATGCAATAAAGCACACATATATCTCCGTCTACACGGGGCAACCAATAAACAACACTTCAGTTCTGTTTACATGCAATACCAATACCTTTCACCATGCTGCACTACTGTATATACTGTGTGAGCTTAGTTATACCGTTATACAGATATAC